TATCTATCTGTATGAGTGAGGTATTCTGACCTTTTTTTCATTAAAACAAAATAGCATCTATGTGGAAATGCTGTTGCATTTGCATAACTGTTGGTCTGCTTGTGTATTTGTCAAAACGGTCCTGCAGTGTGCTGCAGCTTTTATTTTGGAAGTTTTCTCTCCTTTCTGTTGGGCACGGCCACAGATTTTAGCTATTAGATAGATATTGGCTGTAGTTTATAGTTTCTCCAGATCTCTTAAGTCTTTGTCTTGAGTGTTAAAAAAGCTCAATGTACCAAGTACACATACTGGCATGTCACTGAAGTACATAGAAATGGTTTGTTTAGAACTTACCTTTGCTCATCCTCAAGATAAATTCTGTGTGTGAAGGGGAGGAAATGCATCTTATGTTTGTGACTTACTATTAGACATACATATCAGTATATCAAAGCATTTCAGAGGAGGAGGTAGCCGGGTGTCAAAGCTCAGGTTCCTTCATCTGGAGGCATCCAAATGGCCAGGTGTTCTCTGACCATCATTGCTTAGTTTGTGAAGCTCCAGGCAAGAGCTCTTTGTTTTAACTTGACTCTTACACCAGCGTTCACATCTGTGGTGATGTTACACAAAGCAGGATGGTCAGTCTGTTAAGCACTGTGCAACCTGCTCTAGAGCTGAGCAGGGTAATGAGCCTATTGGCAGTGCAGCTGGTGGTACTCAATTTCCATTATCCCAGAGAGAATACAGCTTATCAGACACCTATCAGCATCCACAACTCACATGCTAAGAGGACAGAGTTATTTCTGGGTAGAGCACTATGGCTTTCAGAGTATAGTACCCATTACTGACCATCTATCTAAATTGTCTTATGATGTGAATGGTGCATTAGCACATTTGGTGAAAGGCAGAGTTGCATTTTGCCCTCTTCTAGGAGCATAACAAAGCACTAAGGCTAAGTGTGACCTTTGTAAATATAGTTGTCTGAAAATCTTCCAAGTTCCTCTTCTCTGGGATGCACTTAAAAATGAGTTTGGCACTGATTACAGTGTCCTGAAGAACTTGAAATACTAAAGGGATAGGAATAGCTAAGTAATTTTTGGCAGGTGTTGTGTGTTTATTGTGTCCTGATTATACTTATTTTTGCAGACTTACATCTACCATATTGTAATATTCTCCACTAGCTTGCCAGCTGTTTGGTTTTAACGTCCTGTAGTCTGAGCAGAGATCCCCATTGCAGGGAAATGGTTGGTTTTGCCTAGAGCAGTTCCATTTTTTCCTCACCCCCATTGTAATAAATTAACTTTTTTCTTTCTAAAAGCTTCTTTCCCCAGAACAAATCTTTCCTACTAATAAAACTGCAATTTTTTACCGAAAAATCATAAACTTCCCATTGGGGAGCTACCTAATTATATCTTACAATAATTCTGTTGAGTGATCTATGGCTCCACTTGTATTCCCAATTAGGATTTGGCAGATCGATGGGCAACCTAATTGATTGTTAAGGTCAAATGTCTCTATTGGCTGATGCCTGAATCTCTTCTAATTATGACTTTAAAGACTATTTTATGGTCTGTTAAAGTTCCTGTGTTTGTTTTTGTACACCAAAGCAATGAAACTCATGATATAACTGCTGGTGAACAGCATCCTTACACAACGTTTCCTGTATTCTCGGGTGCAGTATTAAAAGAATGTGAAATATTGAGGTATCTGAGTTGAACAAAACTGCAGTAAGAAACACTTGATCATGGGTTTTCAGATTGTTCTGTGAATAAGGTAGCTGTGATGTGAAATAATTTTTTTTTTGCTTTTATGACAGCTTAATCATTTCTAAGTGTACAAACACAGAACCTTAACAGCCTTCGTTTTGGCTTGTGATGCTTACTGAGGTGCAGGGGAGATTAATGTGTGCTGCAGTACGAAACCAGCATCCTTGTGATTGCCTGATATTTGGCTAAACTTTCTGTCTCTTTGGGTGAGTGTTCTATCTGATCTTTCCTTGGGAATGTACGCGTGTGGTACAACAGCTCTGTATCTCTCAAGCAGAGGTTGTGAGCATGTAATCGTGTAACCTCAGATCAGAAAATAGGGGAACAGTGATGGCAGTCAGTAGAGATAGTCAAGATGCACATCCCCTTTTCTTTTAGGGTTTGTAGTAGTAATCTGTTTTAAAAAATATGTATATATATATTTACCTCTGCATTTTCGTATATAATTTGACTTCAGAGTGAATTTTACAGAAACTCACTTTACAGAATCACAGATTCAGGCTCACAAGTGTCCCCTCGTCCTTTCCTGTTATAACTCCATCATCTGAGTAAGCTTTTGCTGTGTCTGGCAGAATTGCTATCGATTTCTGTACTTACTGCTTTACTTAGGGTGCTTATAACTGAATTAGTTGCTCAAGATTCCCACATAGTCAATGAAGCTGCTTCATTCATTCATAAAGCTCGTTATTATGAACATCTACTTTAGATGAGAGAATTGCACACTGGGCTCTTTTAACTGTAAAAGGAACGTGGGCTAATGATGCTGGATAGATAATGCTTGCAGATCAAACTTATTCCTGAAGGCAGTATCACAGAGATCGTGTTTGTCATTGGCTTTTTTGTGCATCCTTTTGGTTCACAAAATCTGATTGCTGCCTAATGTAAAACAAAAAGTTGGTTCCACAAAGGCAGTACCAGAATTGGAGACTGCCCGGATTTGTGTTCCAATCAATACGCATCCTCTAAAGCACTTCTTCAGCTGAGAAATTTGTCCCAAAAAAACCCAAATCCTAACACTTAAGTTGTCTTTTCTTAAATTTGATGCTAGTTTGGTGATTGTAGCACTTTGCTGGAATATGTATGATATATAGACTCAAACCTGACCTTTTAAGGAAGTCTCAATTGAAAATGTTCCACTTCTGGGCAGATTTGCCTCTATCTTTAAATTATTTTTTATTTTTAAGCATTACCTGAAAGGCAGATGTCTCACTGTCCTTTGCCCCAGTATCTCCACAAGTTTCTGGTTATCGACAATTGTTAAGTGCTGTCACTATGCATAAATAATACAAACACAAACTGTAAGGGCACTGCTTTATAACTTGCAATTGATTCCTGCCTTAAAATGCAGTTGCTGTCTTACAGAATCATAGAATCACCAAGGTTGGAAAAGACCTAAAAGATCATCCGGTCCAACCGTTCAATATAGCTACTTAAGCTTGTGTTTTGGTTTCTATTTCTGAGGAGGTTGTACCACCTTCAATTGAACATCTGTATCTTAGTTTTTGGAGTGAGACTACAAGTTTTGTTGCTCTGTGGGTCCAGAGAATGGAACTTGAGCCATCTGCTTTGTACTAGTAAAGAAACTTTTCTGATGCCTGTACTGGAAGATGGAAGTACTGTAGAGTTACTTTATATATATAAAAGGTCACTCTTAATTACTTCTACAAATCAACGTTGTCTGAGGAGTTAATAGCAAAAGTTGGTGCAACTTTTGGTTATGAAGCCAATGCATTTTCTGAAAATGGAGAACATTGCTCATTCTTACAAGTATTTACAAGCACTGCTCAATCTTAACTGTATTTGATTTGTTTTATTCCTGCTGTACTTATGTCAATTTGCCTTTGTATGGAGAAAAGTGTACGAAACTATCTCAAAAATAACCAAATGTGTGGTTGGTTTGTTTGTGTTCAGATTGAGACAACCTTTCCTCTGGAAGTCTACTACAATGTTTAATTGCTACGGCTTCAGTTGAAGGAAGTCAATGCAAAATTTCTTATCTCTACAGTTGCTCATGGGTGCACAGATTGTTCATATTGAATAGCATCAGTGTAGTAGCTTGCAATACCGAGCACTTGAATATCAATTCAGATTGGTTATTAGGAAAAATTTCTTCTCGAAAAGAGTGGTGATGCATTGGAACAGGCTGCCCAGGGAGGTGGTGGAGACGGTATCTGTGGAGGTGTTCAAGAAATGTATTAATGAGGCACTGAGGGATGAATGTGGTTTAGTGGACATGGTGAAGATGTTGATTGTTAGATGGGATGATCTTATTGAGCCTTTATGATTCTGTGATCAAAACGTGATGAAGGGAGGCCGTGAGTGCCCGGCCCTTGGAGGTGTTCAAGGCCAGGTTGGATGGGCCCTGGGCAGCCTGGTCTGGTATTAGATATGAAGGTTGGTGGCCCTGACTATTGGAGTTGGAGGGGAGTTGGAGCTTGATGATCCTTGGGGTCCCTTCCAACCCAAGCCGTTCTATGATTCTATGAAGGGAGCTTTTTCTTTCTTTCTTTATTTTTTTTGTAAACAGAAGCCTCATTGAATGGCTTTTGGTAGGCTTAGATGTTTTTCAAGCTTGTAGAATTAATGGATCTTATACTATATGTACTTATACTACTTCTGTGTGGGAAAGTTAATTCATAGACTTGAAGAATTTGGTGCCCTCCTGTGTCAGTTCTCACCCAGACTTTGGACTCATTCATCTGGCTGAGTCAAAATAAAATAAATGCTTATTCCATGCCCACCTGCTGAAGTGAAATAAAGAATTTAAGGCAAAAACTTTTTTCCAACAAGAAAGACTAAAAATATCGGTACATAAGAAACAAAGAAATGCTCTGTTGTTGAGGAAAAATATGTGTATAAAAATACTTGATTAATTACATAGGAATTTATTTCCCTCTGTTTCATATGAGAAAAAAGCATGTTTGTCTTTTCTACTTAAAGCTCAGATGTTTGCCCTGATTTTACTTTATAACAGTGTATTTTTTTTTAAGAAAAATGTCCTTAATTTAACTATATCATCTTTAATTTGACTGTACTCTTTTTCATAATTTTCAGAAGATACTGTTAGTGGAAAAGTTGTTTAAGTATAATTTTTAATGGCTCTCTAGCGTTGTACATTAAAATTTGAAAGGCAGTTAAATCACAAGAAAGCACTTCGCTTTATAGAAAAAAACAAAATAATGTATTATGCAGTTGTTCCTGTAATTAGGAATATATTGTGTTCTGTTAACACTTCATTTAATTTTCTTTTAATTGTAGTTAATGATGAAGAACTAAAGAAAAGAATTGCAGAAGAATTGGCATTAGAACGAGCCAGAAGAGACTCTGAAGCTCAAAAGAGAAGGTTTGTTTGTTTTAAATACTGTTATTAACAAACATACTTAATGTTTTGATTACTGCTATTTATCTATTTATTATAAACAGTTAAATTTCGTGCCTTCAAGACAAATGGTAAGTAAGACCCTGGGCTTGTATAACCAATTTTGATATTAAATACACATTAAAAAGCAGCAAATCAATTGACAGTCAACATTGTCAACATTTTGTATCAATTTTTACCTGATTTCTTTTGTCTTTTAAAATTAATCTTTCTTAACTTCTCTTTTTTCTTTAAAAAAAAAATCACTGGAAAGATAGCAGTAGGGAGCACTGTACAGGTGGGTTACTTGTAATCCCTCTGTTTTAAGTCTTCTGTTTGATCAAAAGTATGTTTTAATCAGCAGTAGAAATGGTAGTTATTGTTATTTCAGATTTCTCTGTATTGCAGAATGTTTTCAACTGCTGTAATATTTAATGTCTTAGCACTCTGAAGATACAAAGTACGGTAGTTAGGTGGTTTGCCTGCAAAACCATAGCCCTTTTGTAAAACCATTACTTTATTAGTTGTGTTTTTTTCAGAGACTGTAGAGATTGTAATTACTGTGAGAGACTTGATAGAAGCACACAGAACATAGCTGCAGAGCTGGGGTGTAGCATTCTAAAAATATATTCCCGTTGTTGAGTTTGATGCTGGTAATTATTAGCAAGTAAAAACTTCCAGTTTGAGTTGGACATTAGTTTGGCTGTATGGTGAACTTGGTGGATTTGTGTGGTAATTCATAGTTTGTTTCAGTGATTTTGTTAAAAAGGTAATACAACACAGGTTACAAATATTAACTTACTCATTGTCTTCCCCTCTGAGAATGGGAAGAAAGACTCATTATGATGGATTTTAAAAATTAGGGTGTAATTAGTGCTACTTAAACTGTCTGCATATATAGCAGTTGTTTTCTACACATCATTATATTGTTATTTAATTGTGTTAGGCTGATGGAGTATGTAATTAGCTAGGACTATATAAATGCCCAAGAAAATGAATCAGGCTTTTTTAAAATCAGCAGTAAAGGAAATCAATATGTAATAGAAAAATCTCTCCTCTTTGAACTGGACTTTGACAGGAAACCTTGTGTTGTATTGGAGCTGAACGTTTGCTGCTTAGAATTCATCTAAACGTGTTCACAGTATGGAAATGTTTGTTTTGTAACTTAAGTATTTTGTCCCTTGACACTTCTCAGTGATTTTCATCAGGTTTTCTGTAGCTCAGTTCCTGTTTGTTGTGCATTGGCCTGTGGAAGGTAGGGAGCAGGCTGGCTTTTCACACACCTGATGTTGTGTTTTACAGGGGCTATTGCTGTGTGGCCAAGGAATGTGTTGTATTTATGGGATCATGCAAAATCCTTATGTTCTCTTAAAATTGGTTTGAAGAATCTATGTTTTTGAAATATAAACTATCAGACTAAATCTCAAACAAAAATACCAATATGAAAATAAAATTAAAAGTCTTGTTAGCAGCTTTTGCATCTTTTATAGGTTGTTTTTTTTAGTTTTTTTCTGGAGATAATCAAGAATTTCTTATTTTACTTTCTACATAGTATATATGATTAAAAATAAATACTTGACAAGAGCCTTTACACTCTTTACACTTTACACAGTCATGTCTCATAAAATAGCTTTAAAAGATGGAAGTGTTTAGTTAGCTGTTACTTGAGGTGTTTTATGGACTGAACTCTGGTTGAAGTTTTTTGTTGTTAAAAACATTGAAGAAGCACTGTAGCAAATGGAGCTGTTCTCCTTCAGAACATGTTCTTCTGAGAGTGAAGTGACTGCTGCTGTGCCGACCTCATGAAGAACAGATTTCTGTTGTTCACATTCAGCATACCTACCCTCCTGTTCTATTCCAATTGAGAAAGCAATCTCTCCCGAATTCAGGGGCATGAGGAATGTCTGTGCAGTGTTCATTTTTTTTTTTTTTTTTTAAGTCAAGATCCATACTTTCAAGTGGAAAAAGCCTGCAATTTTCTGTATGACTCAGGTATCAGTCTTCTGGACACTTATGTACTTTCAGAGCTGGTATAATTTTTCATCATTACTGGACTTCAGTTTTGAAGCAGAAACTTAGGAGCTCAGTGTACACTGTTCAGATAGAACATTTTATACCTTTCACTTTGGTGCAATGCAGAGACTTCTAGGTAATATAAACAAGAAAAACCTAAAAAGATTCCTTTTGTATTTAGTTATATGTAGTAAACATGAAAGCACATTGATGCAACGTTGTAAGATGGAACAAAACCTGTGTTCCCAGCTGTACTGTGCTTAAAACATATGCTGGAATAAAACTGTTAGAGAGAACGGTTGTTAGTGTTCATAGGGTATATTACAAAAGCAACTGGAAGCCATTCCAGAGTTCAAGAGCTTTAGACCATTGTCCAAGTCTTCAGAACCTGCAGTTCACGGAAGCAATATCAGAGTACTTTCTTTGTTGTATCAAACATGTTCACAAATCACATTGTTTTCCAGGTAAGGGTACTACATCTGGAGGTTGATGGCCCTGCCGGTGGCAGGGGGGTTGGAACTGGATAGTCTTTGAGGTCCCTTCCAACCCAAGTCATTCTATGATTCTATGATGTTAATACTTGAACACATGAAAGAAGGAAGTGAAATGTAGGCTTTGTAACCTATACAGAGGATGCAGAGTACAGATGCATCGGTGTTGTTTAAGGCTGGTTGGACTGAGAAGGATGGTATCTGATGTCTGTGCTGATAGCACATTGTAGAACGGTGATTCAGTAGCTCTTTCAGCTTGTATTTCTCTTTGGTAGGCAAATGAGCAGCATGTAGCCAGTCCTCAGCATTTTGATGAAAGATTTGCTACTTTTATCTGGTGAAAAGCAACTTGGAATGCTGTAGTTCTAGTGTTTAAATTTTTGGAAGAGTTATGGTAGGGGCATAAGCCCCATATTTAGTTACTTTAATGGATACCATAGTATTAAAAACTACTTCGCTTTGCACTTTCAGTACATTAAAAAAATAAAAATGAAATTGATAACCTACTACTTTTTTCTTGACTATCTTTAAGTCAGATATTGATGGTAGGTGATGCTGATATCAGAAATGTTTTTGGTAAACATTTTATGAAATAAATAGAGAAACACAAAGATTATGTATTTAGAAAGTGTATATTCATTCCCTTCTCAAAAACAGTTTTGCTATCTTTAAGTAAAAAAAAAAAATTAAACATAAGTGAACTTGTGACTGTCAGTTGTCTAATCTATCTATCTAATGGATAATTTCAGTACTGTTTCTTTATGCATTGGATCACCACATCTTGATCAGATTGCAATGTGTAGTATATCTGTGCAACACTGTGAAAGAAGATTTTTTTTTTAAATTAAATTAATTGCTAGGGAGTTTATTTATTCAAATGTACATATACAAATGGTTAAAATTTCCCTCAAATTACAATCAGTCTCTCCAGGATTTTCTTCTCTTAGAATCTGGAAGTATGTAGTGGTTGTGGAAGTGTCGTAAATTAATGCAAAAGTTAATAACTACCATCATGAGAACATGTGTGGCTTGTAATCTGTTGATGGAAATTGAAGTGCTGCCAGTGACTGAATTCCCTCATGTTTAACCATTCTGGGCCAGAACACCACCTCATCTCACATATTGTTTTCTCAGGCCTACTAATGGACAAACATTCCTGGAAGTGCTTTACTAAAGCTGCCTTCTGGCTCAATTTCCCCTGGGAGTTTCTCTACTTATTTTGATAGACTGGACGAATACAGTCTCTGTCTATGGAAGTACTTGTTAATTTCCATCTCCTGAAGTGAAAAAAATGTTTATCCTCTTACAGAAGGCAGAGTTGTATGTGGAGGATCTTCCTCATGTTGGAGGTTGGGTATTCAGTTCTTGAGTCTGACCAGTAGGTATTCCTATGCCCTCTAGTCAGTTCTGGAGACTGTGTTAGCAGTCCAGAATTTTGTAATAATACTATAGTGACCACAAATCCCACTGAAGACTCAAAGTTCAAGCTAATGCATTGGTTCTTCTACTCAGCTCAACTGTGGCTTTTGAACATAAATAAAGTTTTCTCTCAAGAGTCATTTCATTTAGAAAAGTTAAGCTGATTTTTATTCAATTACAATGGAACTTATGGTGACTGCATTAGTAGATGTGACTGCTTAATGTGTTGGAGCTACAGTCATGTGATAATGCTCAAGGTAATTTACAGGTTGTAATACTATTAGTATTAAGAAAAACAATATAGAAATAGTACTGCTATTAGAGTTATAATTACTAGAGAGCTTACTATTTTGAACAGAATAGGAAAGAATAATGTATATTCTTTCCCCTCGATTAAGAATAGCATTAATATTCTCATAGCCTATTTCCAGTTCATGTCAGTACCTACCATTAGGTAGCAACAATACCCTGCTCGTTATAATGTTCATTATTTAATGAAAACAGAGTCTTAGCCAGTACCTTAATGATGGATTTGTGGCTTACTGAACAATTACTTGAGCATGTTCAGTGGCTTTCTGGTGTGACGTTTGTTACTGCCTTTGGTGTATATGGACTCTTAAGAAAAAGAGAAAAAGCAAGCTTTGTCCCCTGTTAAATACCTGCCACAGTCTGTTACACATCATGAAAGAGAAACCTACTAAAAGAGAGAATCATAGAATCACAAGGTTGGACAGGATATACAAGACCATCTAGTCCAACTGTCCTCCATCACCATTACTACCACGAGCCACTAAACCATATCTCGTAGCTCCTCATCCAGGCGCCTCCTGAACGCTGCCAGGGATGGCGACTCCACCGCCTCCCTGGGCAGGCCATTCCAGTGCCTGACCTCTCTGGGGGAGAAAGTTTTTCCTCATGTCTAATCTAAACCTCCTCTGGTACAATTGTGGCCATTTCCG